TAGCTTAGACTACCTGTGGCCACCCAATTTTAGTATGGACAAATTTTTTTATTTCACGATTTCAAATTTATATTAAAAAATAATAATTTAAAAATGCTTAAAATTTTAAAATTTCAAAACTTTACAAAATGTCTTAGAATATCTGTGGCCACTAACTTTTAGTGAAATTTTTTTTTAGGGCCCAAAAATTTTTTTTGCAATAATAATAATTTTTTTCTTACAAAACTGTACAGAATGACTCATAATACCTGTGGCCACCCACTTTCAGTGAAATTTAAATTGTAGTACGTTGTCAAAAAAAATTTAATCAAAATGAATGCGATTCATATAGTGATGTTTAATACCTGTAGCCACCCAAATCGTGCTCATACATTGATGTTTCATATCAAAATGAATGGGATTCATAGTATATTTGTTTGTAGGAAATTGCACGTCATAAACACTCGACATTGGCTCATTTGAAGGAAACATTTTCTCAGTCTTTCCATCAAAATGGTAAGCTTCGTCATGTACATCATTATATGTTTGTAATACGTGTCAATAGTTCTTTACATATTCGCATAACCTTCCTACTTGTCGGTTTAAACGTGGAGGTCACATGCCTAGAAGACAAGGCTCTTCCTCGTCCTCGTCCCGTCCCTTTCCTCTTCCCCTGTCCCGGCATCTAACCCTCAACCACAATATGGTCCGTCACAATATGGACACATTGGCCCTTCCTCCAACACTCAACAACATGTTACGGGACTTGGCCACATGCGAACCGAACGTTCTCGTTCAATCTCCTTTAGCTCCTCTCCTTCCGTTCCACCCCATTATTCGCGAACAATCGAATATTGACGGAAACATAGGTCAAGAAGATAACCGATTCTTCATATGCCCATTTGGAGATTCGTAAGTACTTCATTTTTATTTTAGTATATGTAATATTTAGGGCTTTAGATATTGATGTCAATTGAATTGTCCATGTTGCACAATATTCATATGAATGCGAGTTCACGGATGCTCCGTCTGTTGTGAGGAATTAAACAAAATAGTAAGAAACTTTTGGATGGGAGAGTATATTACTTACAGAAATGTTCCATAAGAAGCGAAAGAAATGTGGTGGAATGAGTTCAAGGTAAGTTTTACATATTTTATTTTCTCACCAATTAAATATGGTGTAGTATATTGATGGTCAAGAATGATGTAAAGGGAACATAACAACTCCGTAGTTTTCGATACCTAAAGGCCCAGATATTTTCCCCGACATGAACTTTACAAAATCTGTCTATATTTGTCTTGTGCATGGTTATGGATATGTAATCATCATAATAATTTTCAATTTGTGTTTTTATTCATTGCAGCGGAAGTTTCAAGTGGGAGGAAGCGGAAGACAATGAAGTGAGAAGAATTTTCGATAAGAAAATAAGTGATTTTATGCGAAATGTCATGAATAGAGCGAAGAGCAAGCAAGCGAAGCCGTCTTTCTTACGGTGACAATTGGGAGGCAATTAACACATTTTGGGCATCCGAGCAGTCGGCAACTCGTGAGCGGAATAAGAAGAATCAATCTTCTAGTTCTAGTGATGGGTCGCCACATATCTTTGAGGGCTCTATCAACATTGCGGAGCATCGCAAACGAATGGTAAGTCTGTTAAATGAGTTATAAGTTAATTTAATTCAATTACTCATGTTTACATTTTGTAGGCACATGAATTGGGGACGGAACCGACATTTGCAGCTACATTTGAACGCACATTTCAAAAGAAAGATAAGACATGGGTGGCGATCGAGCAAAAGGCATTAAGGTATGTAAGGTTATACTTTGGCTTATATGTAAACTATAATGAAAACCGTGAATGCTTTCAATATTTTTGGTAGATATATATATAGTGATTTTATTTTCATCTACATTGTTAATGTAGGAAAAATATGATGAACTTTTAATGAGCAGTGCTAGTGGTAGTGATGATTGTCCTAAATCCCGGCCACCAGTTGATAATATGGCATTATGGATGGAGGCAACAGGTGGAGCGAGAAAAGGGACAATATTTGGGATGGGATCATTATCAAGGATGTACATGCCGAATAATCTTGGAAGTTCATCATCCACTGGGACTGGTCGAAGGAGGTCACGACCAGACGAGCAATTGACCCAAGAAGTGCATCGTCTGAATAATTTACTTGTTAAGAAGGATGAACGCATATATAACTTGGAAGAACAAATGAGAGTCGTTATGCAACACCTTAACATCAATCGCTATGGCGATCCTCCTGTACCTCCAGCCAATCCAGTAGGTGATGGGAACAATGATGACCAACACATTGATGCCAAGAATGCTGATGATGATGATGATGATGAAGATTATCTCCGGTCTTTCTAGTTAAAATTCTCAAAATCGGGGGTAAGCTTGCTTCATAATCTTGGTTTTTCATAATTTCACTCATATTCATATGTAAGAACATTTATGTTCGTCCCAAAACGTATTTTTGTTAACCCTTTTGTTATTTTGCTTCATAAGCTTGCTTCATAAACGCTTTTTTTATATTCTGGACTGATTTATTTATCGACATTTCCTCAGGTCTCGACAAAAGTGACTACTTTTGGTGTCCTGCCATCGTACCAAAGCCGCGTCTTCTTCTGTATGGTTTTTTTGCATCTTCTATGGTTGTCCCGTCTCTTAGTTCATGTTTTGACTGTATTGTAAGATTGCATATCAAATAGTATCATGTCAGACTTTACAACTTTCCTTCTGTTATTTGTTTCAATTATATGTCATTGTGGCTGGTTTGTCAGAATTTATGGTTTGTTCGTTTTTCTGTTTCAATTATATATCATTGTCTCCTTTGATTGATATGGACAAGAATTTATGGCCGAAATGATATAAAAATAGCGACGAATATTTTAAGCCGAATTTTGCTATCATTAAAGTTTGTCACTAATTTGCGACGAAATTTGCGACGAATTTTCTGACGAAATTCGCGACAAATTTTACGACGATTTTGCGGCGAATTTTGCGACGGACAAACATTCGTCGCAAATTTTGCGACGAAATTTGCGACGAATTTGCAACGGATTTTTGCGACGAATTTTGCGACGGACAAACGTTCGTCGCAAATTTTGCGACGAAATTTGCGACAAATTTGCGATGGATTTTTGCGACGAATTTTGCGACGGACAAACGTTCGTCGCAAATTTTGCGACGAATTTGCGACGGATTTTTGCGACGAATTTTGCGACGGATTTTTGCGACGGACAAACGTGCGTCGCAAATTTTGCGACGAAATTTGCGACGAATTGCGACGGATTTTTGCGACGAATTTTGCGACGGACAAACGTGCGTCGCAAATTTTGCGACGGACAAACGTTCGTCGCAAATTTTGCGACGAAATTTGCGACGAATTTGCGACGGATTTTTGCGACGAATTTTGCGACGGATCGAGTTCGTCGCAAATTTGCGACGAAATTGCGACGGATATTTGCGACGGACAAAGTTCGTCGCAAATTTGCGACGGAATATTTGCGACGGACTATGTGCCGTCGCAAATTTGTGATGAATTTTGCGACAAATTTTTTTTCGTCTCAAATTTGCGACGAACTTGTGAATTTTCCGTCGCAAAATTTTGCGACGACCGATTAGTGACGGAATTTTTTCCGTCGCAAAATCCGTCGCAAATTCGATTTGCGACGGATTTTTCCACGTTTTCCGTCGCAAATTCCGTCGCTAATCCGGTGTTTTTTTGTAGTGATGTTCGATAGCTCTATAAAATGTCCACCAGTTAAGTTCTCACAGACTTAAAATTTTGATTAGAAAGATTTTGTTATAATGTTCCACACACTAGTTGAGCAGCTAATTAAAACTTTTTTATGGTTTTCAATGCATTAATGTTCTTTATTGCTTCTTTCTTTCTTTCTTCCCGTCTCTTCACAGTATTCTGACTATCAATGACTTCAACAGTGAAATCAGGCATTTTCAACACTAATCATGAGCAGGGACATGGCAAGTGAAAGTGGTTATTGTAGCCTTCATTTCATGTGAGAGTTGAGACAAGGGGACATTGGATCATCATCCTATGTTTTGAATATTTACGTGAGCCTGAAGATATAATGACACTGGCTAGCAAAAGCAGAGTGCCCTGGTAAACAGGTTTGTCCGCACTTGCTGGCGGCTACACTGATTCATTGACCAAAATACTCAAAAAGCACGTTGCAGGGAACACACAAAAATAGGAAAAGAGGCCTAATTCCAAAAAAAAGCACTAACTTTAGGTCGAGAAATAATTTTGCCCCCGAACTTTTTTTGTCCCATAAAAAAGCACCAACTTTAGGTTGAAAAACAATTCTGGCCCGAACTTTTTTTTGTCCCGTAAAAAAGCACCAACTTTAGGTCGAGTGATAATTCAGGCCCAAAATTTTTTTTGTCTCATAAAAAATCACAAACTTTCACCCTGATCCCAAATCTGGCTCCCCGTTGACTTTCTGTCCGAAGTCACCATTATTTGAGAAAAAACGGTTATGGCGGTGAGCTTGGCGAATTTCGTCCATATCGTCTGTCGACAGGCGGTAGTCAGCTTTAGATTACGTCTTGCCAAAGAGATTCAATCTGGAGATATTTTTGACTTGCCAGTGAAGTGAATGAGACAAGCAGTTTCACCGTTATTCTTTAAATTGTTAATCAAAGAATAAGACAATGAATATTGCTTTAAACCCAGTCAGCAAGCCACGTAGATTTATTGCTAAGGTGGAATAGTCAATTTAGATAATTAATACTTCTAAGTCAATGGGGCCAGATTTGGGATTTAAGTGAAAATTAATGTTTTTTTATGAGACAAAAAAAAGTTTGAACCAGAATTGTCACTTGACCTAAATTTAGTGCTTTTTTACGGGACAAAAAAAAAGTTCGGACCAAAATTATCCCTTGACCTAAAGTTGCTGCTTTCTTACGGGACAAAAAAAAGTTCTGGCTAAAATTATCCCTTGACCTAAAGTTGCTGCTTTTTTTTGGAATTAACCCTAGGAAAAGAACATCTTCTTCACTTGCTGCTCCCATAAAATACACCTCCGAACAAATTCTGAGGCTTCATTACCAGGTCCGGTCAAATTAAAGTCCCATGACTGGACCATTTCCTAAATCCCCCTAAAAGCCCAGCCCATAAAAGTTCTCGAATGGACATCGAAAACATTATTTCATGTACAGACTTCACCAAAAAAGAGAGTAATAGGTGGAGAATTTGATACCATCATGCCAGTTACAAACTGATAGAAGATAAGAAGACATTACAGAATCGCTGGCCCCAAAACCCAATTGATGATTTTCTTCCTCTGCCATGCCGACATTCGGTGGTTGAATGCAAAAGGGATGGTTAATAGTGATCTCCTCCACAGAACACCGAAATCTTGCTCTTCCTCAAAGTAGTTCAGTTCCCCTGTATTCTGAGACAAAGATAATAAGATACTTGGCAGAGACAAGGCGGGCCATGACAATCATCTATGTGTCCAAAAGCAGCCATTGTAGAAATTCCATTATAAGCATCCTTTGGATTCGGAGATACTTCCAATGGTTAAATAATGTGCCAAAGTTCTGAGTACAGCCCGTTCTATGTTACTGTCATGAGCGCCAAATCTGAGAGAGCCAAACGCATCATCGTTATGGACAGCTGGAATGAAATACCAAAAGAGAAAAGATAATCTTAAAGAATCCAATTACCACACAGTAACACACAGCGTCAACACACTGTTGGTTCACCTATATTAGAATAGAAAATTAAAGCAGATGGACTCCAATGCCTAGCAGAGATACATCTTATGTGCATGTTATCCTGCCCATCCCCAATTTAGGTGTGGATGAAACAAGAGCAGAATGGGAAAAAAATCTATCGAGGCCAAAATGTTTAAATGATGCTTTTATTGTATGTATCATATAAAGTACTATCAGAAACAAATTTCTTATCTCATACTCAGCACTGCCGAAAGCATAAGTACCCAGCTACCATCTCCATCATTTGATGACTCAACTAAATGGTTATATGCTAAAACCTTTCATGCGACAGAACAGAAAAATTAGTTACTTTTGAATTCTCGTTTCTCATGAATAAATTAGGCGCCAAACCATTTTAGTCCAACCTACGCTAAAATATCAAGCTTACTGAAATCCTCAGTGGCAACTATTTTGTGTAATCGTGAAATCCAAGGGAGCAGTACTTTCATTAAATAATGTGCCTCTTATTAGCAAATATCGGTATAGTTTGGGAGAAGAAAGAAGCTGGGTGCTTTCTTCACAGCAAGCTAAGTGCTCTAGCTACAATGTAACAGACCAATTAAGTCGCACTGTTACACTTTTTTCTGCCCAACAGGTAAACAAGACAGAAATAAATAATAGATATTCAGATACTAGCAACCAAGACGAATTCGCCAGAATAGAGAAAAATAACATACCAGTTAGACAGCAAGACCTTGTTCTCTTGCCTTCTTCAACCACTTGAGACTACTCTCAAGAGCAGTGTAAGCAGAAACATCAGTCAAGCTCTTGCTCTCAACAGCATAATCGAAAACCTCATAAGCCTCGGCCACCCTACCATCTCTACAGAGCGATCTCACAAAGGTTGCATAAGCAGCTGTCTCAAGCTTCATATCACTAGATTTCATCATTTGATACAATTCAATCCCTTTTTCCAATAACCTCGACTTACACAACCCATGAAGCAACGTATTGTATGTGCAAGAATTTGGACTACACCCCTTAGCCTCCATCTCCTCCAACAATCTTAATGCTCCAAGTGCATCCCCCTCTCTGCACATTCCGTTCATCAACGACGTATATGTTACCGCGTCCGGAAAATGGCCCGCCTCCACCATTATGTCCAAGTATTTCCTAGCATCTTTTACCCTCCCCGATTTCGACAACCCAAAAATCAAAGTATTGTAGGTTACAAGATCAGGCTCCACACCTTCCTCTTTCATCTTCTTATAAACCCCAACGGCCTCGCTCCCTCTGCTCAACATACAATACCCCTTCATTATCGTATTATAAACGAAACAGTCGGGCTTAAACCCTTCCTCACTCAATACGCTGACCAACCGCGTCACCTCTCTTAGATTCTTAGTATTACAGACATTATCAATCAGTATAGTGTACGTGACCAAATCAGGCTTAACACCCAAAGAATCACGCATCTCGTCGATGAAATTGTACGCGGTACCCAAAGCCCTGTTCTTACACAAATGCTTGACCACAAAATTGTACGTGTAGGTGTCCGGAGGCGAATGCTTCGAAGACAGCTCTCGGATCAATTCGATGGCCTCATCCTCGCGGCCGGAAGAACAGAGGGACCGAACGGCGACGTCGGCGGTCGCCTGGTTCGGGGCGACCCCCCTGTTGATCATCAAGTTGAGGACTTGGTGAACAGGGGAGAGCGAATCGCCGGGGGTCTTGCAGGACTGGGACAGCAGGACGTGGTAGGTGGACCGGTCGGGCGAGAAGCAAGGGGACGCCTTGACCATGTGGTTGAGGAGGGAGATCGAGTCGTGGACGGTGGCGGCGACCGCGGCGTAGGACTGGAGGAGGGCGTTGTGGAGGCGGGCGTCAAGCGGCGATTTCGAGGCGGCGACGACGGAGCTGAAGAGCTTCTTGGCGTCCGACAAGTCCGGCGACGTGAACGGAGACTGCAATTGGGGAGGGACGGACGGTGACGGTGACGGTGACTCGAGGGAATTCGGGTCGTGGGTTTTCCGGGAAAACCTGGCGGGTTTCTTGGGAAAGTGGAGGGGCTTTGCAGCTGCGGATGGGGGATTGATGGTGGCGAGGGAGGAAGGCTTCGTCGCCATTGAAGTGGAGATGGCCGACCTGAAAGACGGTGGGATCTTCCCCATTGTCGGCTCTGCTTTCGTCCTCGAGCTGAGGTTTGTTCTTTGCGGGATCTGAGCTAGGGTTTTACGCAGGGTTTTGAGCTCGAGGTTGAAGGAGAAGGTGAAGGTGGAACGAAAGCGAGCGATTGAATGAATATTCTGGAGAAATTAGATCTTGCTCCTCGAGTTTTTGTAGCTTTGGCAATTCACCCCCTCGATAACTCAGATTTTGCAATAATGTTCAATAAGTTCGAGGGAATTGCATTTTGTCCTTAGATTTTTCAGATTGTTATGAATTTTCCCTCGATGTTTCAATTCTTTTTGCAATTTTGACCCAAAGTTTTGGAACTCGTGGATTTTACTCGTAATTTAAGGAGAAATTGAAATGAAATTGGAGAGGCAAATTCAGGATAGAGCAAACGGTTTAGTCAAATGGGTCTGAGATCGTGCGTGTGATGAGGTAAATTAAGGTGACACGATCCAAGGAAAGAGCAAATATTTCAATCAATTTTAGGCGAAAATAAATCGGACACTTGAAAATGATGTGAGATAGTATATGTGACGACGTCAACAACTATGGGGTTCGATCTATGAAATTGTTGACGATGGTGGCTACCACCACCGTCGACCTTGCTTAAGAAAGGTGGCCGTAGTGTCCACCGCCGTTTCTGCCGCCCCCTCCTTTCCACCTCACTCACCTAGTCCTCCCAATACTTTTAAAAATTAATAATAACAAAGAAAAACTAAAAGGGTTTTCACAATATGTAATCCTCGAGAAAATATTGCGTAAAACAGATTTGTCAAGTCAGATTTAAGATAGACCATTCAAAGCGCAACATGTGTCAAGATAGGCCCGCTTGTCAGTAATTTTTTAATGTCCTATCTTTGCTCTCTCCATTACTTCTCTTGCGTATCATATTTAAGATAGACCATTCAGAATGCAACACGTGTCTAGACAAACCCACGTGTTAGCAATTTTTGAAAGCCTCTTTGTTTTTTTTCTAGTCGTTACTACTCTGTTTATCCCCATCACTGTTATTAACGTCTCTGCTCTCTTTCTTTCTATCCCACTCTGCTCTATGGACATTCCCTCCTCTTTCCTCTCTCTCTCTCTCTCTCGCTCTCCTTACTTTCCCATGGTCTTCCTCTTTCCCTTTTCTAAAGAATTTTAGAGAGACACGGGCTCCTTCTCTTCCCTCACATTGTTTCTCTCTATTCCTTCGACGAATCACGCCACCTCCGCCGTCGCCTCTGTGGCTCTGATTCAAGCCAGATGACGAATCAGAGGGGTTGTTTATAAGCCGAGAGTCCCACATCGATTGGGAATGAAGAGACCATCAAAGGGGTTGTTTATAAAATCCAAGCCAAGCTTTGTAATTAGAGTTCAATACACTGAAGCCAAACATTATAATTGGAGATCAATTCTCTTACAATGCATGGCAATTAGAGTTCAATTTGTTTTATAAAAAAAATTTAAATAATGAATTTATTTTTTTTAAATATTCATTATTTTTTAAAAAAAAAAATAATTTGGAACCGGAACCGGAACCGGGCCAGTAGGCCACGGGCCGGTTCCGGTTCCGAACCGCGGGCCAGGTCAACAGGCCGGGCCCGGGTTTGACCGGACCGGTTCCGAGCCAAAACCGGCCCGTGGCCATGACTAGCGCCGACTGTGCCACGTAGGACCGCCAGCATTCACGTTAGCGATTTTCGGCCTAAATTGTCTAGATGGATTAAATTAATACAAATGCGAAAATGCTTAAGACTAAACAAGTACAATTGAAATGTTTAGAACTGAATTGTTACTAATGAAATAGGTTAAAACCGAATTGGCACCGATGCAATAAGTTTGGGACTTTTTCCTATATTTCATTTCCTTTTTATTTATTTATTTGTTGTTTCTCTTTAAGTATAATTCACTTCTTCTTTTGATTCTACAATCAATGTAGTAGGAACTTTGTAGCTAATTTCGAAAAGAAATTCATAAAATCAAGGGGCAATTTGCAACAATCCGAAAAATCTAAGGACAAAGGGTACTCAACGTTTTAGCCCTTATAATAGGAACCGCCTCAGTCACGTGAAAGCACGTGACCGAGGTCGCGGTGAGAACGTTGCCGGAGTAAATGCTACGTAACGAGTTTTGACATATTAGGCTGCGTTTGGTCGTCCGGATGTCTAAATATGATAGGACTGGATAGGATAGGATAAGAAATCTTGGGATTTCTTCATATCATGTCCACTGTTTGGTGGACTACGGATTTAAAGTTGGATAGGATATTTTTTATTTTTTGCTATTCACGGGTCCGGAGGAGTCAGTGAAGGAAAAAAAAGCCGAGAAATTTTTTTGGTGAAAGCGCACAATGTGTGGGGATGAAGATGACGGCAAGTGGAGCGTAGGGTTTCTGGAAAAATAGGCATTAGAAATCCTATCCAGATCTATCCCACCCCCTCCCCCGGATTTTTTTATCCGGGTTATATCCGGTCTATATCCGACCTTATCCTATCCTGGACCACTACCAAACACAGGATAGGATAAAACATATCCTATCCTGGCTTTTATTCGGTCGACCAAACGCAGCCTTAGGGTAAAGGTTACAAATCAACTTTACACTACAAGCCTTCTTCTATACAACTTATAGATCGTGTCCATTACATTCTATCATCGGATCAGCGTTACTGCTAGAGAGCTGATCCAAGATCATGAAGCACTGAAAGGAAAGACAAGATTCCGGCGTGCCAAATTTATTTACTTAATTCATTGAGGATACAAGGCCAACATGGCACGCTGATTATTCTCATGCCATACTTATTTTGCGACACATAACATCGTATGCGGCTAAGCAAACGGCTTCTGGTTGTAGCAGTCGATCGAGGTTGTCGCCGTACCCAACCTTCAGCAAGTCGCTGTACCTCTTGTAAAACCCGATCCGGTCCTCGACGGCCGCGTTGGGTCCCTTCCCGCACTCCTCCCTGCCATTGATTATGTTGGTGATGAGGCCGTAGCCCGGGACCCTCCCTGCGGCCAAGTCCACGTTGGACGGCCTCCAGCGGCCGGTGATGACGTCGTAGCTAGAGGGCTTTGGCGGCTGTGGAGTCATCCAGAACCAGAGGGCCGTCCTGAACGAGAGGACCGGGTCCTTGGCCACCGCGTCCGGGTTGTTGATCAGGTCGGCGCGGAGGGCGCGCCCCGCTTGGCCGTAGTTGTAGTTGCTGCGAGTAATGAAACCGCGGACAAAATTTTCAAAAATCTCAAGATGGAGATGATAGGGTCAACTTTGAGGTAAATATATATCCTTGTCATGTCCTGCTGAAGTCTTATTGTTCTTTTATGATTTGTGCTTCGGGATTTCATTAGTTTGGTCCTTCAATTTCATGAAAATGAGACTGTCCAAAATCGTCCAGCCGGTCCACAGATCCAAGGATCTCAGTCCACAGGTGGTCAAACTTCCTCATCCAAGCCATGGAGGCAATTGATGATGCTTTGTCAAGTATTAACATTTTAATTTTTCCATTTGATTGATATCAACGTTCATTTTTTTCGATTTCAATAGTGATCTTTACGGGAAATGAAGCATTTAACTTTTCTTTTGCATGAACGCATGCACCAGATGCAAAAGCATCGAAAATGGAGGGACTTACTGCGAGATTTGAATTGGACCTCGACCGTAATATTTTCTGCCAGGAGCACACGGCCATCCAGATTCGCGATCGCAGTAATCTCTGGACCTGTCCCGCTCCTCCACGTGGCAGTATCCCCACGCGTAGGGCCCATCTGGCGCGTCCCTCGATCCTCCTGAAGAGCCAACAGTATCAAAATATCATGCGATATATACGTATGTATGTGCAACCTTAATACGAACTTGTTAGCTCTATACCTGTGGTTTCGTGGGAAGTCTGAGCCAAGAAAGCCGCGACATCCCTGAACCTCGTGTCCCGGGTGCCGGTGGTCCCGAAGCCCGGGAAGGACCTCGCGGCGGCAACGAACGCATCCTAAGTGTAGAAGCCCTTCGCAGGGTAAGCGTGGTCGTTCCGGTGCTTGAGGAGCTGATCGAACTGGGCTCTGCTTATGATGGAACTCACATCATCGCCTCGCTGCGCGTTGGCACCGAGGACGGCGAGGCAGGAAGCTAAGAGAGCAACCGCCCAAATCGACCTCATCTTTGCCTGAGTAGCTGCTGCTTTAGGGGAGAGAGAGGGAGAGGGGCATGATCGTGTGTGGTTTGGAGACGGAGTAAGGTGGTGGGTTTATATAGAGCCTCGAGGTGAGCGAGCGCAAGCGCGAGTGAGAGATCGTACGTGAGTCATTTTCATCCCTGCGACGAGGAGATAAGGCTAAGGCTACAGGAAGGCGACGTGGTTTTTGTAAGGATTCGAGATTTTTCACGTAAAGCGGGGAAAAGAGGTGACACCATGGTGTCGTGGCGTCCAGAGTTGCTTCTGAAATTTCTTCGATGCATGAGCGAAAAGGACCAGCGATCCAAAGGTGGACTTCTCATGCGATGAACGTTAAGGTTTTAGCTTCTGCGATCATTATTGAAGTCGGACTATTCAAAAGCTAGATACATGTAGGGTTAACGTTGAATGAATTGAAGTGTCCGAGACAGAATGTTCTCTCTCTCTCTCGCATAAAGCGCATATTCTCTCCATCTCTCTCCATCTCTCCCCCCGTTTGCATCATTGCATGCATGCACAAGACATAACAGAGCAAAGCCGTACGTAGCTACGCACGTATGTGTGCACAATATCTGGGCTAATATCGATCCACATATACCCCCAAATACCAGATAGGATAACTTTTATATTATCCAGGCGATCGAACATACCCCATAGGTTTTTCTGTATGGAACATAAAAGCGACTCATTTATCAAAGCGAGATACTTGAAAAAATCCCGACTGCAATTCACTCGGGTCTCGGAAAACCTGTAGCTGATGAGATGCCAATCCAAAATTACTAAAGACATTCGATACCGATACCGACTTGGAGACTTAACCGTAGGTATCTTATCTTCGTTTTGATAGTGACATGGATTCCTAATCCAATTACTCAAATATCCAACTCAGGAATCTGTAATATATTGATGGTATGTGTGCTTAGAACAAATAATCTAGCAAGGCTAAAGGAGA